TCTCTCTCTCTCTCTCTCTCTCTCTCTCTCTCTCTCTCTGGCGGAGCTCGCATTTGACGCGAACGAATCTAGAGTGGATTAAAATTATCAAAAGGCAGAAGTATCTCTGCTTTCGGTCGGCCCGTTGTGTTTCAGTTTGCCGCTCAATTTATCTATCAGAGATTAATATGTTGGACGCAAGTATTGCTCTCGTATTGTTTATTACTAACAAGGGAACATCGCGAACCCGAACTCTAATTTTGATACACTTTTGTATGTAGAGTAAATCAGTACATGAATTACGTATATTCCATTTGTGTCCTATCGCTTTTTAAAGGTATGTTTTACACTCTTAAAGTAAAAAGGACGATTCCACTTTTTCGTGTATTACCCTTAAATTAAAGGAGATAGAAAAAAAATTATTTAATAAAAGTTTAATAGTAAGTTAAGTGCTGTAAGTTATAATATAAGGCATAAATAAAAAATATCTTTTTATTGTAACAAAATTTTTTGTAGGTAATTTTTATTTATGTTTATGTCAATTTACAGCACTTAACTTACCATTAAACTTTTATTCGATAAATTTTTTTCTATCTCCTTTAATTTAAGAGTAATACACGAAAAAGTGGAATCGTCCTTTTTACTTTGTGAGGGTAAATCATACCTTTAAAAAGCGACATAAAAAGGGCACAAATGGAATATACCATTATTCATATATTAATTTACTCTACATACTCACAAAAGTGTATCAAAATCAAAGAGTTCATGTTCGCAATGTTCTCTTGTAAGGAATGTCATAATGAACGATTCGTTCGTTTTGAGCATTATTTCGCGGGAGATCCCACGATAATGATACGAAACGAGATTCTTTAGCGATTGAGGAACGTCTTTGCGCATGGTGTGTCTCTCCAAAACCAAGACTTCTCTCTCTTCCTCTCTCTCTCGCTCTACCATTTACTGAATGCGCGATGTTTCGTCGGTGTCGCGAGCCGCCCGAATCGCCGGCGGTAAATCCGTTATCCGGCTTTCGAGAGCGCGCGAGTCGTTATTAAACGGCGGTGATGCCGATACGACCCATCGATTTTTCCGCGAAACAAATAAAGCCACTCGTGCACCCCCGCCACCGTCGCCATCACCAGCCCTGCCACTCTCTCTCACTCCCGTCCGCCGCCCCCCTCGGGAGAGGCAAATTATTCAAAGGGCCCGCGTCCCTCTCCCGCGAGCACCATAATGCGAGTGGCCGCGCTTGTATACGGGAGTTGTATGGGGGGGTTTGCGGCAGGCGGTACCATAAGCACACTGCATATGGGTATCGGAAACGCGCGTAGATCACGCAGGATTATTCGGACACCCTCGGCGATCCCTAAGCTCTGCTGGATGCATGCTAATTGCCGTGAAGGCACACATATTCATGTACCTCGTGTATCTACAGGGTGTCTTCCCTGGCGCCGGGCCCCGATCGCAATCGTAACGACAAGGATTCCCTTGGTTGTGTTAATTCGCAGCTCGACTTTACTTATCTCGGAAGAGATCGGCGGGCTTGATAATACTTCTCACACGTGGTTGATCGCACAAACGAGGGGTGCGTCTCGAGAATTGAGTTTCGCTTCGGAAAAATATTTTAACAATCTCTAAGCGACTGAGCATCTCCGCCGAGAACATGCTTCCGAAATTTGAGGAGCGAGCCATTACGTCGTTGCGATTGGTAATCGTGAAAATTCGATCGTGCTGTTTGCATTTCTGAAAAAAATTAGATACGGTCGTTTCGGGGCACCATGTATACGTGCGTTATGTGTCCCGTGTATATCCACGCGGGGAAGATATACGTGAACGTGTTTACGTGTGTCGGTGTTTAAAAAGGAAGGGGCGGTTAATAGGGGACGGCGAAATCCACCCCTATAGACATCCTTTCGAGAGCGGCACGAAAATAGCGCAGTCCATGAACAGACGAGCGACTACACATGCAACAAGGGAACCGTGCGGTTAGGGGGAAGACGAAGGATCGGGGATTGATCCTGTAGATCACTCTAATGCTCGAGCTGAACTTTTTTCAATTTCGCCGAAAGTGCCGCTTTATCGTGGAACGTCAATGAAAGATTTATCAAATCGGAATCCTCATGGATCGCGACGTGAGGACTCGAGTCCTCTGCGACATTATTAAGTGTGTGCATATATGCACAATGAGATAAAAAATATCTAAGAAATAAAAACTATTTATTCGATGGGTATCAATATCTACACTGACTTGAGCTAATATAAAATGTTCTTCAAAACAGAAAATGTATGTGTTTTTCTTAGAATAAATAATTGCTTTCGTGAAGAGCCAAGATTTCCACAAGATTTGAAGAAAATGTATCTTTTTTTATTTGAGAAATATTTTATTTTAGTACAAAATATGTTAATGAATAAATATATTTTTTTCTTAGACATTTTTTCTCTCAGTGCACGACACGAGATGAAATCTCTTTCGAGAGAGAGGCCCAAGACGAGATAAAAATTCTGCGGCTATTCGAAGAGATAGAGAAATATTTCCCCTTTTCGTCGCGATGCGTGAAAAATCCGCGGATTATGCGGCCGTTATTTCGCGAAGACACCAGGTACATCGCAAGTAAAAGTGATGAAACGAGTTAACCGTGGCACGTTCGGAAAATATATTGAGATATTTGTAAATAAAAATTTCCCTCACGATACTCGGTTAACGGCGGTGGAGGTGCATCGATCACTCCGGCCGGTATTAACGCGTAATCCCCTTTTGTGTACCGCAGCACACCACTTTCGCGCGCGCGCGTTAAGGAAATAATCCCTCATGTTTATGTATCTCGGCCCTCGCATCCTTTAATGCGCGCTATGAATTTTTTTCCTCTTTCTCCTTTTTCCAAAGCGCCGCCACACGCGCGGCGGTCGGATATTTTTCGCATTACGTTAAAAATGAAAGTACGGTCCTCGAAGGCGGACCCAGCCGCGGATAAATCACCACGTGGGGTCGACCTCGTTGGCGGCGGGAACCGGGGGGAGAGGGAAGGGTGGCTCGACGTCGGCGTCGGGGTCTCCTCTTCTCTTTCTCTCCCGCGTAAAATCAGCTTAAGAGAATTTTCAGACGTCGAATTTCTGCAAAACTTCCAAAGGCACAGAGGCCGCCGTTGTGCGCCGCGGTCGCGTTGGCGCCGACCCTAATCACTTTTAAAACGCCATAAAGCGGATTAGCCGTAAGGGATATTATGGGCCAATCGAAGTTATGAATTCATTAGGCGAGCGCGTGCGGGTAAACGAGATTACGAAGTCGCGGTCGAAGTTCCAACCGGCCGAAATCGGCGCTAACTCTCTCGGCCCCGGGCTGGCCTAATCGCGACCTCAATTATCTGATACAGCCGTAACGTTCGGCTAAACTCTGCTGCGATTATTATTATCGTGTGGTGGACGAGTGTGTGAAAGTATAAGTTCCGAATAATCACTTGTCGGCGCGAACGCACCTAACGATGCCGTGATCACGCGCTGCCTCTCTCGTCGTAATTATTGAGCCAATCAAAGTTAAAGCGACGCCTGCTTTCGGCCGCTCCGTTAACCGTAGCTCGCGTGGAACAGCACACGGGGGTGCGATTTAATTAATTAGGGAAACGACAGTTACTCGACAACGACGACGACGACGACGACGACAAGGGTTGGCCGGAATCAGGCTGTGTGTTGCGCTACTACGGATTTCTTCTTTTTTATATACCTTCCGTGCATGTTTACCGTCACATGAAAAATGTAATGTGGAAGATTGAGACGTTGGCGAGTTAAAAACGTTCCAACGGCGAGGGCAAACAACAACGCAACGTGCGTTTCTGCGGAATTTTACATTTGCACACCTCATCCGCTTCGTTAATTTTTCATGGGCATATTTACGCAAGAGAAATATATACAGCCACGTTTAGAAAGGGAGAATTATTCGCGCAAAGAAATATTCGTACACTGAGAGGAAGGATATCTAGAAAAGAAAGAGATATTTATTTAGTAAGTAATATAACGATATATTTACTTAACGAAATATTATCATAACGATACATTTATTGAGAATATTTTTTCTCAGATATTCCTTCTCTCAGTGCAGAAAGGTATTTTCATGTCGCAGAAAGGTATTGTCGCGTTGACAATAACCAGGAGTAAAGCGCGAGCAGGGAACATCGCGGAAAAAAAAACGAACGTCCCCCATTTAAATATGTAACGTCACCCTCGCTCGGCCTTTCCAGCTAAAATAACGTTGATCGTTCAATCCCCTGGGTATCGATTTAAAACGTCCGGGGCTAATAGCAATCGTGACTCGCTCTATCGTGAGGCTTCACATTTTCGCCCGTCCGTCGGCGCGGCTTTCCGCGAAGTCACTCCGCAAAGTGTATTAACAGGTTGCCAATATCGCGGAAAGTCTCGTCGCGGACGAGAGAGGCGAGAGGGACCGCTCGACATTGTCAGGCGAACAATTTAATATGCGCGGTCGGGACCGGGGGATCCTCGGGTCCTCGGGAACACGAGCGGCCCTTACCGAGGACTCAGTCCCCTCCTCCGTCCCGCCGGCATACCTTATCTATCTTCCGGCAGTCACAAAGCCGAGATCTCTCCGTTTATTGGAAAGCTCTGCCATCGACTAACCCTAGACGCAGGATGAAAAGAGAGAATCCATCCCTCCTCGCCCTCCTCGCGAGCACTCGCGGGGTATTATCGATACAGGATACCGCGAGCCTGGTATGTCGTCTGAATGTTGATGCTTCCCGGGGCAATTTGGGGATAGGGCCGGAATTTGCATGACATTCCCGTTGTGAGATCGCTCTCCGTGCTCTACGTACGCGACGTCCCGGTGAACCGAATAATTGAAGAGGACGTCCCGGCAAAGGAGAAAAAAAGTAAAAAATAAAAAGAGTGAAAGGCTACGAGCACCGGATTCGTTAGCCGGAAAAATTCCTATGTTGAATGTGTGAGTGAGAGAGAGAGAGAGAGAGAGAGAGAGAGAGAGAGAGAGAGAGAGAGAGTCTCGCTCTCTGTGTAACGTGGAATCAGCGACGAATTTCTGTATCACTGCCTTCGCTCTGGAAGGAGCAAATAAAAATGGTTCCATCTCCAGGAACTATTATTAAGTCTAAAATTTAAATTCTTTTTATATCCTGCAATAATATAGAATGCTTAAAAAATATTAACACCTACGTGAAGAATTCGAAAATCTTTCAAAAAAATAGCAATAAAAAATCTAGATATTAAGAAGAAAAATCTAGATATTAAAAAAAGAAGTCACTCGTCTTGAAGAAAATCGCACGGTAATTTTAATATTAGAAACAACCAAGCAGTCATTTTGGGCAGTTTTTACTTTTAAATTAATATCCTGTTTTTCGTGAGAGACAGGATTGAAATGAATGCTCCATCAGAATAAAAGAAGAATTTGACGATAAGTCAAAATTTTCAAATTTGGTTCTTTACATAAGAAGGATGTTAATTTAGAAAATGAAAATTACCAGAAAAAAATGACCGGAGCTTGGTGCTCCAGCGTTAAATTACCTGAGAAGATCGAATTTAAAAATTACTTCTTTAATTAAAATTAATGGAGATAACTTCACCAAGTTGTATGCATGAAAAACACGGAAGTGCTCGCAAATTTTGAAGTGAGTCCGCGTTTCTTTTGGGAAAAATCTCCGTGATTCCCCCGAAATCTCGCGTCCTCTCGTGTCGTTGCAACATGCGCTTCTCCGTCACTTTCCTTCGTCGCCCGCTCTCATCCTTGCTTGGAAAATCGCGCAAGCGAGGCACGTCCGACTCGGCACGTCGACGAGACCTCGGCGCGCAAACGTGCAGCCGGAAGTCCTCCTCGGACGTGTAGACGTGCGTGCACGAACGAGCGAGCGAGCGAGTGAACGAACAAACGAACGAAGGAACGTACCTACGGAGGGGCGAACCGACAGGCGGACGCGGGGGTGACAACGAGCGTGTGGTGTGTTACGCGCGCGGAGGGGCCGTGCACATGCGCAAGATCGCGCTCACGAGGGTTGCAGTGAGTCAGAGCCGGAGGGGCCGAAGACAGAGGGGAGAAGGTCGCCGGCGGCCGGTTAATCGACGGCGACGGGATCGTCAGTCGGTCGGAAAGCGTCGCGACGCTCGGTGCACTCTGTGCACTCTGCTCTCTCGCTCTCTCTACTCTGTCATCGAGCACGGAGAGTCGCCAGACGACGAGCACGACGACGTCGACGACGTGGATCGCTTGTTGTCGCGCGGCACCCTCCACGGCGAACACGATGCAAGTCAACGCCGCGCGATTCGGATGACGAACAAGAGCGAAGGCGCGAGGAGGGTGGTCATGTCCGGCGGCGAAGTGCGTAGCGGAAGTTGACGAGGACGAGAGGGTGACGACGGGCAAGCACGACGAAGACGAGGATGTTCCTCGCGCGGAGATGACCGGTCGCTTGGCTCTCCACGCTGAAGAGTAAACTCAAGAGTACGCGACGCGCTCGCGGTGGTGGCGAGATACCACCTGGGGAGCGAGCGTTGCCTTAGTCCTGCGGGGATGCGGGCCGCGGAATCCTCTACCTCGAAATCGTGATATATCTTTTCTACGTATCTTGTAAGGGCTGCTTCTCGCCGCATGTAAACACGGGGCGTATCGTCCGCCAGCTCGAAGACTGCTGTTCCACTCGCTTCACATTTGGGTGAAGAGCCGAAGGCGGTTCGGGCACGAAAACGGGCTCCTCCGGTCTACCTTTTATCACGGAGGGTCGCGTCGAGCTCGGGAAATCAGGAGGCGACCACAGCGACGACTCGCTAACAGCTGCGACAACATCGCGCAGAGGGGAGCTTGTCGAACGGCTCGCGTTGTCGTCGGAGCTGCCGGAGTCGAAAGAAGACGCGGGGCTCAGACGAGGGGCGACGAGGGTGGGCGGTGGTGGTGGTAGCAGTCGTGCCGGTCGACAGAGCAGCTGCGCCGGCAATAGTCGTAACACTACTAACGACCGCTGCAGCAACGATAGTATTAGTAGTAGCGGCGGCAACAGCAGCAGCAGCAGCAGCAGCAATAGTAGTAGTAGTAGCAGCAGCGACGACGACAACAGCAGCGTAAGCTGCAACGGTAGTGTTGGTAGTGGTGGTGTTGGTGGTTGTAGTAGTGGTAACGTCGTCCTCGTAGTCGATGGTGCTGGCAGTCGTAGTAGTTGTATCGGTGGAAGACTGTCGTGCAAGGGTGGCTCGACGCGACTCGTAATAAAGGGACTGGTGGAGGGCCCGGCAAGCAGCAGGGTGGCCGCGCGAGTGCACCCGAGTTGGGGAGCGGGCGCGAGAGGGGTGAGTCCCTCTGCACCCTCAGGACGGGGATGTCCCGCGGCCGACGGCGTCCCTGGTCGAATCGTCGCCGTCGGCGCTACGACACGGAATCGCCGGCCGATGGGCGCCAATCTCACTAAGCAGAGCAGGGTGAGTTCTCTCTCTCTCTCTCTCTCTTTCTCTCTCTCCTCGTCTCTCTTTGGGGGTCGAGTCGTGACGCGTGACTTTCAAAGGGAGGTCTCATTGTCGTCGTTGTTTTGTCGCGCGAATGCAGATGCATATCGAACGGAGGGTGCATTTTAGAGAAAGCGCGCGACGAAACGGCGCAATTTTTTTAGCAATATTTGTAGGAATCTTATTGGAGAAATGTGATATTGTAAGAGAGCGAGATTTCCTTGCTCAAGTTGGTCGTCATAATTGACGAATTGTGATAAATTAGTCGCCATAATTCGAGCAGATCTTGATTCAATATTATGGAAACTAATGCGTCATAGATTGGTTGAAACTAATAATAATGTATAGCAGATATATTTTGGAGAGAGCCAAAATTTTTCTTTTTTGAAATTAATAAATTCTGAGAAGCACGATATATGTACATATGTGATTTTATTTTTTCTTTACTGTCGATACCCAACGAGCGAGAGTATAGTGTGATTAATAACGTTACCGAGAGCAGCGATATAGCGTTCCCCCATGCGCGAGAACAACGAATAACGGCGGCCTGAAGACGGTATAAGCGCGCCGTAGGTAGGCTGAATGAACGGTACTGTGATAGACACGTGGGCGAGGAAAAAAGGCAACGAGGAAATTCACGGGCCATTAAAACGCTCGCAGGTATCTGCCCGTGGATATCTGCGCTTGTGAGAGACAGCCATTCACGGGGATCTCTCGCTGCCGATGAATGAAGCATTCACGCGTCCGCGCGCGCGGTGCCGAGCGCACTCTCGCCCGCGTTCGTGACCTTCTGCTTCTGATTTCGTCGATCTGCGGACGCGAGTCCGCTCTTCGCGTTCAAACAGTTCGCGATTAACCGAGTGGAGGAATGTACGCGCGAATATCTGTGATTTGTGCAGCTTGTTCCTTCGATTTGCGTACTCGCGAATTATTGAAGAGAAAAATTAAAAAAACAGAATAATATTGAATAAATTATTAGACCTTAAGATGCACAATCGAACCTAGATTGGGAAAGTCAATAAGAGTCTATGCAGGACATACTTAAAAATGCTTGAAAATTTAATATTTGTGGAACGCAAAAGAGGATTGCCTAAAACGGCCCCCGAGCGGATCTCTAAATAAAGGTGTATAAAGATAATTAAATATGGAGAAAAACAACTCTTTCTTTCTTTTCTCTCTTCTCTCTCTAAAATTAACTAGAGTTGTCAGAAGATTCAGTTACTATACTTCTATTGAGTCAAGTACTCAATCATCTGATCAAGAGCTTCTGACTTCGCAGACCGATTACTCCTTTACTAATGAGCAATCATTCATGAAATGAGCAAAGTTTCATGAAATTTGATAAAGGTTTTGGGGAGATATATAAGGGAAAACGTATTGAAACTTTGACCACTTTAGCCACCTATACCTCCTTTTGGCCACTAGACAGGACAGTGTCTATTGACAAAATTAAAGTACAAGTAGGGAACTATGATTTATGACATTGGTTTGATCGTTATCCACGGGAGGGACGAGGTTCCTATATTCATTTGTAGAGAAATAAAATTCATTTCGCAAACTTTATTTCACAAAAATAAATTTCGCATCTCACAAATGATTTTTGCAGGTATTTTCTTTTCAGTACGTCGATTGTACAAATGAAGCAAGACAAGGGACCTTGAAGGCTCCAGAGTCAACCTAATGTTTCGATCGCGCGTCATGTTCCGTTGATTTGTGAATGTATTGTGTTTCCCAATCTCTCTCGACATCTTGCGTACCTCTTATAATGCTTTTTTCTCTGATCTAGATTCGAGAATAAAATAAAAAGAGAGTTTCTCGTTTTTTAAGACACTTGCCGGGTACCGCGATAAAATTTCACAAGAAAACGACTTGCGTAAATCCGTGCAAATCGCAAACGCTTAACCGAAATCTTGCGCCTCGCCGAGACAACGCCGACTATTCGCTGTCCTTTAAACCGGCTTTAAATGCTCGCGTAATATCGCGAAAGTGCCTCGCCTCGAGATAAAGCGAGCATTATGAGCGGCGAAGTGTCGGTTATACGGTAATACGCGCGATAGTAAAGCTCGCAAACGCGCCGCGCCGCGTTGTGAGTCGTTTCACGTCGAGACAAAACGAACTATACAGGACTGAAGATAAAGAGTGGGATAAAAGAGAAAGAGAGAGAGGAAGAGAGAAAGAGAGAGAGAGAAATATGTAAAAGAGGAGAAACAAAAGTGCCGCAGTTCCCATAGTACTACATAATACGCATAGTTTGCCGCGTACATGCAAACGTAAATGCTACAGTTTGGCGTTACGGCCGGTTACTAAGTTGCGAAACAGCACTCTCCGATTCGCGAATACCGCTGGCAAGCGGAATGCCTATACGCCGCATACCCGCCGTCGAACATTCCGGGAGTCGAGCGAGATTTTTTCGAGCGTTTTATTGATATGCAACGAGCGCGCGGTACAATGCACCGGCGCGGTGTGTTGCACCCGCCACGAGTATTGATAACAACCACTTCCACGTGACGGTGCGTTGCATACCCGAAACGTGCTCGTTATCAACGTAACCGTGAGTATTAAATCACGACGATAACCCCGGCTAAACCCAGTTGAATCAACTCTCTTTTCTCCCGTGCGGCATTGGCGACCGGATTTTTTCATGCCTTAACAACTACGCGCCGCTCCGTGTGCCATTTTGCGAAATACCTAAGAATCAGCCACTTGTGTTTTCTTTTTTTTTTTCTTATTCCATTCACTCTCTCTTTGCATACACTGAGAGAAAAATGTATGATATTTGGAACTATAATGGCATAGTAAAAATATTATAGTTAGGAATATAATTTTTATAGTAAATGTTACCATAATATTTGTAATATTTACAATATAAGTATAGTATAACTGACCCGTGTAAAATTTTTACCAAGAATTATAATTATTTGAAATAAAAAATATGGTAAGGTGGCAAATATTGAATGGTAAGAGAAATTAACTATTTTATATAGTCAATACAATTGGAATATTTGGCAAATATAGGTACATGTAACTACATTCCCAAAAGGTGCTTTATCATATATATAGAGTAATAAGATGGTGACTATAAATCTGTGTTCATTCTACTATATCTTCATGTTTAGATGAACTATAAATATATGTTTGAGGCCAAAACGAACTATAAAATATAGTGAGATTATAGTTATTCCAACTATTTTTTTCTCTCAGTGTATGACGAAAATTCGAATATCGTGTAAAGTGCACGGAACAATGCTGCTGTATCGATCGGGTTGGTCGTCAAATTGCAGTAAATATTCTTGGTTTAAACAGAAATATGATTGAAACTGATACATACATTGTTTTAATAACTCAAGTATTACTTTTATATTAATTTTATTTTATTTTAGTATTATTTTAAGTTATTTTAAGTATTTTAAGTTATTTTAGTATTATTTTAAGAGTATTATTTTAATAATATTGAATTTAATAATTATTGAATCAAAAAGATTTACTCCAATTATGACGCTGCTGACCAATCTTATTGACACAACAGCACTTTTTCCCCTGCAACAATTAATAAAAATTTACTTACTCGTACTCTCATAACCCCCTCGAATAAAATTCCGCTTGAAAGATGGCACAACGGCTGAATCATTCGAATTCGAGTGATTTTACATTGGTACGCGGTAAGAACAATTACAAAACTGAATTTCCCATTGCCCGGTAAAAATAGGAATGAAGTGAGTGATGAAAAATTCGGTTGTAGGAATAGAAAGATTCCTGTAGGAGCTTTCTATTCAGTCAATGATTTTCAGCTGTTGCAACCAAGTTTTAATATAGTTCATACAAATGTTTTCCGCTGAGGAGTATTATTTCACGTCGATGAATTTTCATCTGCTCCCTATTCAGTTGCACGAATCAAGATTTCTTTTCTGCGTGCACGGAAAAACACATTAGTGTAACTAAATGTTCCATTGTCTGATAAGAATAGAGGCTAAATGAAAAACTCGGTAGGAACAGAAAGTTTCCCTGTAGGGGCTTTCTACTCGATCATTTATTCTCAGAGTTATTGCAGCCAAGTTTTAATACAGCTGAATGTTCGAACAAATATTTTCAGTTGCGGTAACAGGAATATCGTTTCGCGTCATCGCATTTTCATCTGGCCCCCGTTCAGTTGCATGAACTAAGATTGCCTTTATTCGTAGTACAAACTGAATTACTCAGGCTGAATAAATCGAGTGATATTTTCATTCGGAATTGAAGAGTAATGCTGCAATTCTAAGCAGAATCGTAAGTCTCGTAACTTGTTCTCGTAAAATTCGTCAAAACTTATGAGTAGATTTACAAATATATGCAATATCATATGTCGTACAATCACTTATAAGTATCGTAAATTACATGAAATCGTAGATATTTACGAGTAATTGTACGACATTGTATGATATTGCATAAACTTGTAAATCTACTCATAAGTTCTGACGAATTTTACGAGAACAAGTTACGAGACTTACGATTCTGCTTAGAATTGCGACATAAATCTGATATACTCTACAGACCGTTATCGGACGAATTCACCCCCCATCGATTGAGGCGTTTACTTTTGCGATTTCGAGTGGCGAGATTTTCACTATCGTTTCAAGCGAGATTTCACTCGGCGACATTTCGAGTGTACATCGCGGCACTTTCCATCTCGTTGAACCACGGAACGACTTAGTCATTATTCACACTTTACGTATTCCCGTTGCCAAAATCGATAGCGGCGGTTTTGTCGCGCGGCAGGAAGTTTCGAACAGCCATCAGCGTGCTGTACGCTGAAACCACTACTATAGTGGAGTAGTAACGACCGGCGGAGAGCCAGGAGAGAGAGAGAGAGAGAGAGGGGGGGGAGGAAGAGAGAAAGAGCGTTCTCTCGTCGAGGCGCGGGATGTCTCATTGTACTGCGCGCTCTCACCATCACCCACCACCCATCCAACTCGGTTTCTCCCTCGTAACTTGTCGCAGAG